ACAGAATGGGAGAAATGTCTGATAAAAGGGTTAATATGAAAAACGTCTAAGGAACTTAGACTCAATAGCAAGCAAATAACTTGACCACAAAATGAACAAGGGACCATAGCACACATTTTTTCCAAGAGAGACAGGTATGGCCAACAGTTATATGAAAAAAGTGTCCTTATCCTCAGAAAAATAAAAATTAATAAAACCTTTATGAAACATCATCTCACTCTAGTTGGAATGCCTATCATTAAAAATGAAGAGAGAAAGAAAGAAAGAAAGAAAAAAAGACTGAAGCTAACAAGTGTTGGCCAGTATGTGAAAATAAAGGGACTGATGTGCATTGTTGGTAGGAATGTAAATTCATATAAGCCAATACGAAAAGCACTTTGAAAATTCCTCAGAATCCAAAAATAGAATTATCAAATGATCCAGCAACCCTATTACTGGGCACATTTATAAAGTATGTTGAAAAATTAATTATCTATACTTACATGTTTCAGTGTTATTCATAATAGCCAATACAATGTAAATAACTTAAGGGTCATTCAACAGAGGAATGGATAAAGCAAATGCATATATGTATGTGTAAATGTGTATATCTATATATATGTATGTGTAGATATACATATATATCTACATATATGTAACTACACAAATATATCTATATCTACTATATTTATCTATATATATCTATATATCTGTATGTCTACACATACATACATACACATATGCATGTATACACACAAAATGGACTATTATTCAGCCTTAAAAAGGGAAATTCCTGTAATTTTTGGCAACATGAATGAATACAGAGGATATTTTTGCTAAGTAAAATAATGTAGGCATAGAAAGACAAATACCAAATGATTTCACATATATGTGGAATCTAATACAGTTGACTTCATAGAAGTAGAGAGTAGAATGAGAGTTACCAGAGACTAGGTACAAGGGAATAAGGGAGGGAGTTGATCAAAGGGTACAAAGTTTCAAATAGGAGGAAGAGATTTTGAGATTTATTGCATAGCAGATCCACTGTAGTCAATAATGCACAGTATACTGCAAAACAACTAGGAGTAAATTTTAATTGTTTTAAAATTTAAAAAAATGATACGCAAGCAAGGTGATAGATCTATTAAATAGCTGGATTAAATCAAGCACTTTGTATACTTTTGTCAAAATATCATATTGTATCCCATAAATGCATATGATTATAATTTATCAAGAAAACAATACTATTAATAAAAGGAAATTAATATGTGACTGTGAGGAATACCAATGAAGGTGGAGTGAAATGGGCACTCCATGCACACTCTTCTGATGCTTAAACTTATAAATCTCTTGTTAAACAGTTTAATGATGTGCTACAAATATTTAAATGTGCATGCTCTGATCTGTTAATTCCACTTCTAGAAATTAATTTAATAATTAAACTGGAGCTAAAAAAGACTCAAATTGTATTACACAAACTATACCTATAAAGCTATGCTTCCTGTTATACCAGTGAAAAATAAGAAGAGTGGTAAGATAGATAAAAAAATGAAAACTAGGTAGGAGATCTTCAAGGTAATAATCAAGAAAGTGTCTGATTTGTAAGGCAATGTCATATATTGAAGCCCAAGAACAATTACAGGTGATAACAAAGGTAAACGAAGGTAGACACCTGATTGTAAAAATAACCAAATGAGGGCTGGGGATGTGGCTCAAGCGGTAGCGCGCTCGCCTGGCATGCATGCGGCCCGGGTTCGATCCTCAGCACCACATACCAACAAAGATGTTGTGTCTACCGAGAACTAAACAATAAAACATTAAAAATTCTCTCTCTCTCTCTCTCCTCTCTCACTCTCTCTTTAAAAAAAAATTCTCTCTCTCTCTCTCTCTCTCTCTCCCCTCTCTCACTCTCTTTAAAAAAAAAGTGTATTAAAAAAATAAATAACCAAATGAATTTGTTTACAAATGAATCATCAAAGTAAGCCAATGTTAAATCTGTACAGTTCCCAGTTTCTCAGCCTTACAGGAAGAACTGTCTCATCTGACACATGGAACATATATTAGGTTACAGAGGTAACAAAGGTTCCTCAACCTAGATCAGGTTAAAGGTCAAAATTTTTCATGAACAAGACAGAATAATGTTATAACACACAAACTAGTAAAATGGCATTTTTCCATATATTTAATATAATTTATTTAATATAAAATATTCCTTGAATTTAACCATATTTTCCACTCTAGACAGAGTCAGAGTATATCCCATCCTGCTAGAGATACTCAGAAAAATGCCACAGTAATAATTAAAGAAGTTTAGTAACATTTATTTAATTTATAAAAACCATGGAAATTTCACAGTGTCTTTCGCCAAGCAGGAAAATAAATTTTGTTTTAAATTTAATTTTTTAACATCATACAATGTTACTATAAAATAAACGAGAATTATAGAAAGCAATAGTCAAATAATACTGACATAATTTCAACAAAATCAAGGGAATTATAAGACTAGGCTGGTATATATATATATTTATGCCAGATCGATCCCAAATGCAGTCAGATAATCTGAACCTACAACAAAATTTAATTGCGATTCCCCACCTTTTTTTGAAAGTCAGAAGAAGAATAGAAATTTAGTAGATTAGACAAAGGGGAATGAAGAGAATGGAGGGTATAGGAAAGACAGTGGAATGAATTGGACATAACTTTCCTATGTTTATATATGAATATACCATCAGTGAAACTCCACATCATGTACAACCACAAGAATAGACTCCTAATTAGAAAAAGTTATACTATATTTATAATATGTGAAAATATACTCTACTGTCATGTGTATCTAAAAAGCAGAAATTAAAAAAAAAAGAAAGAAAAAGAAGCCCAACTATTAATTTTATTTGAATGTTTTCTTAAGGAATAGGGAGTTTTTCCAATGTTCTAAAATTAGTTTGTGATGATGGTTATGTAAATGAAATTTACTGAACTATGCTCCTAAATTATATTTTGTAATATGTAAATTGTTCCTAAAACAGCTTATTTCAAAGTGCACCCTCTACTGGGCAGCTGGGGCAGGCTGCTAACTTGGAAGCTGTTCTCTGTGGGCTAAGAAAATGAGTATGAGCCTGGGAAGTGAGTCCAGAGCAGCAGTTAAAGATAGCATGGCTTTCAGCCTGACCAGTAATGGGTAAATTGTCTTGCCTCACTGGTCCCCTTAAAACAAAGGGCAAAAATGAACATATTAATTAGGGAAAATTTTCTTATATATAGAACTGTTTCAGCCAAGCTTATTCCTTAAAACAAAACCCTAAATCCTTAAAAAAAAACCTGTGACTCACTAGATAGAAAGTCTGGTATATACATAAAGCCCATTCAGTGAAAAATAAAAATGCAAGACATACTTGGGGTTTCAAAAACAAAACAATGAAACAGTAAACTAAACACATTTCACATAGGGCAAAGAAAACAAAACAAAACAAATCCTCACTCACAAAGCATATGTGGAAATGTTCCATATTCAATGGGCCACTTTTTGTCACTATTTTGACTATTACTAGTGTAACTTACATTAGAATACACTTTAATAAACATAAGCATACATATACTATTTTAGATGGCAACATCTCCTAGAACAGGAGAAAATGCAACAGAACTCATTAGGATAGATTTCTCCTTTCTGATTCTAAGATTAAAATAAATTAAATGTCTTTACTCCTAGATATTTCCTTCCTAAATCAACAATGATCCTACTTAACAGATAATACCTGTGGAGTTATTGTTTTTAGCAAAAGTTCTACTTTTCCTTTCAAAACAGTGAAATGGTGAAAACTAACAAGGAAATTAATCCTAATTAAAACCTAAGCCTTATATTCATATTGGAAATATAATTTTTTATTAAAATATTAACTCATTAGCAATTCTCACAATTATATTGAGTTTTTATACCTTTAATGGACACCAAAAGTTCAAAATGTTTTCCCATAGAAAATTCTAAACAACAGCAACAATGACAAAAAATAGAATTAGAAAACAAATCTCCATATAGCATAATCTATAGATTCAACAATTTTGATAATTTTGCACACTTGCTTTATCTACCTTTCTACATATGTACTTTTTTCTGTGTACTTTCATATAAACTCCAGCCTCCACGTCTTCTACCCCTATGGATGTTAGTGAGCATCTCTAAAAAAATAATAAATTTAGTGACTACCAAATGTTTCTTTAAATAGAAATGTATTTTCAGTCATATCATGAAGATGCATAAATTTAATATTTACTTAGTATCTACAAAAGATAAGCTCTTGAGAATCCTAAATAGTTTCTTTCCATTAAAATGTATCTGGCTCCTATTTTTTCTATTAGAAATTATAAAAGTATAGGTAAAACTTTAAAAATTTTAATACTAAAAAGAAAGCAAGTGAAAATTTTGTTTTTAAGTCAAGCTTGCCCCTGTATTACATTTATATATTTCTGTTTAATAATGTAAGTTCATAATTCTCCTGAATATTGAAATCAGAAGCAATCTTCTACCTAGATGTGCAAATACTGAACCTTAAAAGAGAGTTACCAAGCCGTGAATACTGTAAAAAATGAAAATTCTGGAGTATAATTTATAGTGTTTAATGAAATTTGTACATATTGGATATACTGGAATATCATTTTAACATGTGATCACTTTCATTGACATAAACTAATATTATGTCAGTGTATTTTTTATATCACTGTAATTTTATGTCACTGTAAAATTAAATTGCATTAATAGCACTAATGATACAGCCATTATATTTTCACATAAGATAAAAGGAATTTAAAATTTAGATAAGCATTGATAGAAATGCCAAATTATCATACCAAAATATCAAAACACTAAATTAGTATTTTAGCTCCTGATCATATTTTGACTTTTATTCATATATTTTGTACACATTTTCCATGTGTATTTTTGGGATTATTGAGGATTAAAATATATGTCTGAATATAATATCTAATCTTTTAATCTTTCTGTGCATCAAGTATTAAATCCATACCTTCAAAGTAGCCATCTCTTTTAGACGGTGTCTGCTTTGGTGAGTTTATAACAGAAACTTTATTTTCATTGTTTTTGAATAATGCTAGGCGCACACTGGGATCTAGACAAAAAGAACAAGAGAGAAGATCAGCTCTGGGTCATTCTTTCTCTAAAAGGACCACATTTTTTTTATGATGGTATTAAAATACTATCCCTTCTATAGGATTCTATGATATTGATTATCTCATTTTCCAATTTATAATATGAAAAGGTAGCCAACCAATATTCTTGGTTGTCTGAATATACACATAGCCAATACTTAGTATAAAGGACAGTAACACTAATAATGTGAAAAAAGTTGCTTGTAAACTATGGCATCATATACTTTACTATTTACTAATTTACCTCCTTTTTAAAATCCCTAATATTTCTTCTAGAATAAAGCAAAATTTCTATAGATGGATAACTAGGCAATAAAGTTCTCATTATAGAAAAAAAAAACATGTTTTCAACTTTTCACCCTCTAAATTACAGAGCTAGGATATGGGAAGAGGAAAGCAAGGCAGCTATTAGATTGAGGGCCAAAGAAAAAAAGACTATTTCATTAATTTTATACATACAATTTTGGTGTTTTTTCCTAAATATATTGTATTTACCTACCAAAGTCGTATAAATACTCTAAAGGTTTTAAAGCCTAAAATATCCTAGATATATTAATTTTACAAAATAAAAAGTGTGATTTAAATGTAGGGCATGTAACTTTTTATTTGAAATAAATGGTTCTCTGGAATATGAAAAATGAGAATTCAGTACTTTTGTATTATGAGGTTTTGCTTAAGAACTCTAAGAAGACAGTGATGCAAGTACTAGGGAATGAAATCCAGGGTGGAAAGTTATGCATTTAGTAGGGTAGCAAAGCCACAATTTGGAGTAGCACACATTTTCATAGTATTCTGTATCATCTGGCAGAAGAGAGTTTAAGAATCTTTGATTAATATCTAGTAAAATAGAACTGAATATGCTAAGTGGGAAAACAAGATATTAAATGTCATGAATATTAAACAGTATATTTTAATTAAATGATAAAGTAGCATATTTCTTAGAATGTGCATTAGAAAAGCAGAATAAATAGCATTTGCAGAGTTATTCTCCAATATAAGCAACCTGATGATTTTCATTTTTTTAGTAATAATTTATCCTTAGTAATTTTGATTAACACACTACACCAAGATTATACTTCTTTAACATTAGAAAAATTTCAATGTTTGGGTACTTCCCTAAGTGTAGGCAACCTAAAGTGTTTTAATAATTGGATATTTCTACATTAATTCATTTTGAATTATCAATATAAATAATATTGGTATTATGTATATTTCATTGAATAAGTTTTATGTGTCACCTAAATCATTTAAAAAGTATTGATATATCAAAAGAAGCATTACTCAATCAGGGAAGACAGATTTATATGGGTTCACAAACTGTGTGGTACCTCACAACTTCTTTTGATAACTTATAACCATCTTTCTATTCTCCTGCTCTTCTTGCCTCTTGGCAATGACTGGCAATTCAACATTATTAGTTCATATTTTAGTTTCAATTTTTACCAGTTGTATCACTCTAAAAACAATTACTCTCACTTTGTGACTTCTCTGTCCATCAGAAATAATACTGACTTTCAAGAACTACTGTGAGAATTTAATGTAATAATGTGTGTAAAGCATCAAATCTAATACCCATATAAGTGTGGACACTCAATAAATGACAGTTAGCAGATAGATATATATTACAACATAAACAACTATAATATTTACAACCTATTGTACTCTTGGAAAAGACCATAAATCTTTCATAGTATAAGAAATAGATGGATCCATAATATCTCCCTTTTATTAAATATAGCACACAAAACAAAAGCTATGGATCTTTTATAAGGTACTTCCTTGGGCAAGCAACAATCTATCTATGAATTTTTTTTTTTTTTTGGTACGGGGAATTAAACTCAGGGGTACTAAACCATTGAGCCACATTCCCATCCCTACTTTGTATTTTATTTAGAGACTGGGTCTCACTGAGTTGCTTAGCATCTTGCTGTTGCTGATGCTGGCTTTGAACTGGAGATCCTCCTCTCTCAGGCTCCCAATTTGATGAGATTATAGGCATGAGCCACTGTGCCCAATTTATGAGGTTATTTTTTAAATATGTAGAATAGGGATAATAATAGCACTTCCTTATACTATTATCAAGATCAAAAAATTTAATACCTGTCAAATAACCAAAATAATCAGCTCAATTTATTCAATAAAATAGTTTTATTCCCCAAGTATAAATGTCTTTTCATTTCAAAACATTCTGCTTGCATCAGCAAAAATTGATTTAAAACTTAATTCAGATTGCAAAGGGATAATGTAAGAAGCAAGATACACTTTGGTAATTTAAGATAGAGGAAAAAAATCACTTGATTTTAATAGTTCCTAGAAATACCACTTTGGTTAAGACACTATTCTTACTCCCCCACCACCCTGAATACAGTCTAGTAGAAAGTCAGGGGATAAGGATGTGTAAATTACAAATGGTGACACAGTTTTCACGCACTGTAAAATTAGTTTTGCACATTAATTCCACTCCTCTGTGATCATTAATACCAGTTCTGCTACTTTTTAATTTTCATTTTTTAAAGAAAATTTTGAGTCTCCCAAATATGGCTTGCTTATGACAGGAAATAAAAATATTTTTAAAAACCTCTATGTAAGTAAGCTGAGTTCCTACTATGAACAAGGCTTTATACTTTAATGCTCTATATCACTTATCTCATTTAAGTAATATAATTTTAGTTAGACAATAGATGTATCCATATCAATATTTCTTTTTTGAATCCTCTCACTTAAAATTGTCATTTTGCAAACAAATTGCTTTCCTACAGTCCTTGAACTACTCAGTGCACATTAAAAAACGAAATTACCCTTTCTTAATTTCCACCTGGTTAATTTTTGGCTGTGATTAAATGTTAACCTTTTGCTTCATCTTGTTATTTCTTTTCTCTAGGAAATTTTGATATGCATCAATATGATAAATCTAGAAAAACCATATTATGTGTGCATCCTATGTTCTTAGCCCTTAAACATTTTACCAGCTGTTCTGTACCAAAATCCATACACTCAGAACATTCTAAGAAACACTTCACATCAAAACCAGTCACCACGCCCCTTCCCCAGCTAGCAAATCTCAGACTTGCTACCAATTATGCTTGCTACCCTAAGGTTATTGACCCTGCATGTTTTCAATAAACCTGTAACTCGCCTTACATTTGATATTCTTCACTGCAGTACTGCATTCTAAACTATCCTCAGTTTCTGCTAAATTCCAATGCTGATGACCAAATTTTGTAAATACTAACCAGACAACAGTAAAGCATAAACAAACAACCCACAAAAACAATACTGGTCATTATTGGTTGAAGCTGATATCACTCATGAGGGGAAAAGCAATTATTTATTTACTGAGAAAAACAACTATAACCCAAACATAAACTGGGTAGATCATGATAGCTCTTCCCAATTTTAGATTTCATCCCATACCTTCTAATCAATTCCTCTTCCTTGTCCTACATTCTGCCTCCTTCTCTTTAAAGCAGATGGCTTCACTTAAAGCAACAGAAGTCATCAATAATGAATCTCCCCAACAGCTGTCGACACTACATTTCCTCAGTTCCTTACATCTTTATTAAACATCTTCCTTCAGTTTCTTCCTCTATCTGCAACTGATTCCATTACACCTCACTTTTTTAAAATTTAAGTCACCTTATGCCTTTTGTCCTATTTTCACTCTCATCTTCAAACATTATTGAATTCTATTCCTTGGCTAATAAAAATGTAAAGATATGAACAAGAAATATTGTTAAGTGCTTGCTACTAAATTGCTCTCAGTTTTTCATGGCAGAAATTTGAATTAAAGTTTCCAAACTCATGTTTACACCCCATGTCCTTGAGGACCACTGCCTTTGTTTAATTGTAGGATATCATTTATTGCACTAATTAATAATTCCTATTCTCTGACACCTCTCCTACCATTCTACCAACTCCCATAGATCTGGCTGTGCTCCCGGCAGTTTTCTGGACAATGTTGCCCTCTGGTGGCTTGAAGTTACAAATTGTAAATTGTTAACATAACACACACACACACACACACACACACACACACCATTTCCATGTATATTTAAAGATTACTAGTATATTTAAAGTATTTCACAGGAGTTAACTATTTAGCAGGATTTCAATATTTAAAACATTGATTTAGATCATTAGTAAGTAAAATTTTAAAATTATGGCTATTATTTGGATAGATTCCAGTAAATTAATGGCATAGCACACATTGACTGATTTATAAAACTGAGAAAGGTAATAGAAAAATATCTATTCTCTAGGAAGAAAACCCAAGGTAGAGACTTAAATCATTTATTCAATCATTTATTCAAAACTAAAAGAAGTGACATGAGTCATTAACATAACAGAAGATAAATAAGATGTGATCCTTAGAAAGGATTGCCTTGATTTTTTTTCGTTCCCTTTGATCCTCCCTTAATATTTTAAATTTGTGTATCTGCTGTGAAGGAGAAACAGAGGAATATAGGATAATATAAAGCTCATATGTAGAATAATAATATGGGATAATACATAGGTTATATGTAGGCATTCGAATTTCTAAGAAATGTTGCTTTTGTTTTCTTAATCTAATATAATTTTAATGAAACAAAAGAAGAATTGTGCAAAATTCAAAATCTCACATAATAACATAATGCAGTTTGAATTACAATCCTGTAAAAAGAGTAATAATCCCCATAAAAATGATACAATTGCCACTCAGGATTTTTAATCTAACAGAGCATGCTTTGTGAGCACTGACAAAATGTTAAGATGTAGTTACTAAACTGGATGGTTGGCTGTGCTTTTTCATTTGTTACCCTACCATGCCCCCTTGTGACTGATAAAAAGTAGCTTTATTTTTTGACCTAATTATATTGAATTGTGGCCATTAAAGCAATAATATTTATGTGTGAGCATATATTGCTTATTGAATCCTTTGCTAATACATATTTCTCATGGTGATTTATGAAAAAGGACCCAACCAAAACAAAATAGCCCCTCAATTACAAGAATCAGTAAGAAAGAAATAATTTTCAAGACAGAATCATATGGCAAATCTGACAAGGTAAACTTTTCCTTAGCTTTGAATGCAGAAGCTACTGAAAAAAAAAAAACCTAAAAATATCTTTTAAGAATAGTTCTAGAAAAATTTCTGGAAGATAAATAGGTGAAAATTATTTGATGAAAATTGGTTGAATCAGTTCTTAAACCTTTTTCACAGCTGATCTTGCCCCAGGAGTTTCAGAAAAAAATTTAATTCTCAAAACAGTTGTTTTTCTCATAGTCTTGAAGATGGATAGAAATAGACATCAGAGCAATAAAAGAATTTATTAAAGCACACTGATTTATTTTACTGGATACCACATCCCCAGAACTGAAAAGAGTGTCTGACTGTTGCGTGGGTTTTGGTTACTGTTTCACCAGGTAACCACCACAGAGTTTTCTGCTCACAGAGACTTCATAAACTTAGTAGGAGTTTACTAGATGAGAGTGCAGGTCACAGACAATTTGGAAATCACAATATTTATTTATATTTTCTTAAAAATGCTTAAAATCCCAACATTTAAAACCCAACAAAATTTTAATACACACAAAATTATAATTATCTCAAAAAGATAACATAAAATTATCATTAACGTAAAACCAACAAAGGAAACTTGTACAATTCTAAAAATGAATCCTCTGTAACTTCTCAATAGCTGATTAGTGATGTGCCAATAAATCAGTTATTCCGTGGAAAACAACAGTATTTTGGTTATTTTATTTCTATTTTTTTAAACATTAAAACACACATACACACACATGTTATTCAGAATTCTACTGAATTAGTAATTTAAAATAATACATAGAAAAACAATAAAGAGTTTTGAGTGCTTACTTGTATGTTTACATATAAGACAGAATTATAGGAGAACATAAATTTCTTTTCTGATGAACAAAAACTCAGTTATTTAAAAATGATACTTATAACAAGCCTATTAGTGCATCAGTTCATAAAGTTACAAATAAAAATGCAGTTACCTGCTGTATGTAAATAATTTTAAATAGTGCTAAATAAAGAAATAAAATCATAATAACTTGCTATTTCTTGCTCTGACATCTGTAAGCTCTTCCACATATTAATTAACTATACTAAAATAATTATTGTTATCTAAAGACATGATTTGAAGAGTAGCCTGGCAAGTAGGATAGAAGATGCCTTTGAACACTTCCCAAATTCTTCAAAAACTACAGTCCCAAACACATAAATTGTGTTTCTTTTTCAATGTATCAAGTTGAAAAATCTTCATAGCTTATTAAATCCTTGAAACTGATGAATTTATACTGTTTACTGAATAATCAAGCAATATAAGAACACACAAAGGAAAATGAAGCTGATGCTCTTTAGAATCAACATTCCCCCACATGAACCACTTTAGAAGCAAATTATAACATAATACTCAGTACACAATAGATAGAATAATAAATAGAAATGTAGATAAGAAACAGGGTAAAAGTATTTTAAAAGTTCAATAAATCCTTCAATGTAATAGCATAGTAATTTTCTCTAATTTTTTAAAATTTATTTTTGGTGTAATTATTTTAGACATTCATCTATGCATTCATTTATTTCATATTAAAATAGTGTATAAACTATATTTTTAAAGAATTTATCTTCAATATCTCAAATAGTTACTATCAAAGAATATTAATTACTTACCTAATTTTTTCTTTAATTTCTTCGATTTCATTTTCTGTGCCCTTTTCAGCATTTGTTGAGCAGTAGAAATATCCTTAAATCCCCTGTTAAAAAATGAATTTCATGAAGGCAAAAAATATCCAGGCCTTGTATATACACATAAAGATAAATACACATCTGAATTACATCATCCTAAAATAAATTTGTATTCCCATTTAATCAGACGCTTAGTTTCTTGAAAATTAATAAAGACATTCTCAAACCCTGAAAATTATCTGTCTTGGACATTTATTAATCTCTCAATTTCTTAATTTTTAGTGTAGAACAGATCACATACCATTCTTCTGAAATTTTTTCTTCTTTTTCAGATCTTAGTAAACTCTTTCTACTAGTCTTAGATTCAGATGTCCAGGATAAAGTTCCATTTTCTGATCTGGCAATAGAAATAAATGACTTTTAACTGAATCAACACAAATATCAGCACGGTCTAAAAGTACAAGCTGTTTATGTTGTCTCAAACTTGGAAATAAAATCCATTTACAGAAAAACTTTATCTTGAAAAGTAATAAAAGTCTGCCATTAATTTTAAATGTTTACATTTCAATTACTTGAAGCATATTTCAATCCTATTGCTGAAAGTAATGCAGCACTGGGACTTTTATTCTAATTCTTATCTCCACCTATAAAGCAGTAAAGATCCACTTGTTTGCAATAATTAATTACATTATTTTGCCAACACATAAGTTTTGTATTTGCTTTAACGCACCTACCTTACATTTTTCTTACACTGAAAACTCAAAAAAATGATATTTTTAATATTGATTGTTGTTCCATCTTTTAAACAAGTAAATTCACATCTATCTTTGTAATGCTGCTTAAAGAATATAATGTTTTGTCATTTATAGGTTGATTTCCTAAGAGAATAATTTAGCTTACCTGCCATTTAAGTGTGTGTGTTCTGATGAAAAACAATTTTCTTTGTCATTACATAGCCATGCTTGAGCTGGATGACTTGGTAAATTAAGTGAGGCATCATCATATTTCAAAGTTCCAGAGATCTTATCAGACAAAAATGTAAATAAGTGTAAAGAAAATTGGAAAATTCTATCATTTATAAAGTATTGCTTTCTATTAATGTTACCAAGTAGTTTCATGAGGGAAACTCAAAAATATTAAAAACTTTTTAAAATGAAATTTCTGGAGAATTCATACATGACTTGTTATAATGATGTAGAACACGTATTTTGGTATAGTTCACATATGTAAAATGATTAATAGCAAAGATCTTTAAAAAATATCAGAAAACAAAAACTTCAAAGATTATCAAATAAATAACAGATATTGCAGTCCATTGACCTCTGACTGAGAATCTTCAGCTGCTGCCCTTTTAATGCATATTTTTGTATTTTTAAAGTGCTGTCAACTAGTGATTTTAGTCTACTGCCAAATATGCAGCTGAAGCATATCATTATTATTTTTTTTTTGCTACTGTGAAATAAAGTGTTGAAAGAAATCCAAAATAAAGAAAAAAATAGGAGTAAATGAAAGAAAAGCTACATGAAAAATTACATCTGGGGATGAGGAGGAAGTCAAAGGCTTCTAAAAGTAATTATGTTTTTCAAGTCAATAAATTGTATTATTAATCACTGCAGCATAGCATAACCTTAAGAAATGAACAAAGATCGAGAACTCAGAAGTTTCCATGACATGTTACCTTTGGCCAGTGCAGCTGGTTTGAGAGAAGCAGTGTTTGTGAAGGGAAGCGGGTGGAATCTAAATCTAGCCATTCTTTCTCTAAGGCAGCCTGCACAAATAGTAACATTAAAATATACAAAATTCAGTTTGCACAGCTTTCACTAAGTTTCCTTTAAATTGTCTTATATACTACAAATGTTGCCAAAACATATCAGAATTTTTATTTACAGGGAATTTGCTATTTGCTATTGTGAGAGGATATGCAACTATATAATGCAAACATACTAAGAAACAGGATAAGTCTTTTCATCTCCAGGTTTCGTATAAAGTGAAAACTTGATATTTAAGTACTCTTAAAATGAGGTACAGATTGTTTTGGGTATTTAACTCTTTAAAACTATGACTTTGAGCCAAATCTAGACCTACCCAAGTAAAATAATATTTTAGCTCTTTGCAAATTAAAGTACCTTCTAGCAAACATGATTGAAAACATTACAATAAACATATATAATTAAAAATTATATTTTTTTAAACCAGAGTATATAAGCCAGCTTTTTCTTAGTTTGTTACGAATTTCACAAATTTTCTGATAGAAACCAGAATTTTAGTCAATGAATAAAACATCACAATGAATATGGTTCCTGTTATTATTATGCTTTAATTCAACTGTTTGAATAAAAATATAAATTCAAATTTTAATTCTTGAAACTCCTATTTTAAATCTCCTCTCTCTTTGGCTTGAAACATCTTTGTTTCATTGACATAATTTCCAAATTCTATCTATAATGAAATTGTACTGATTATATTATCATTGTATATTTAAAATATAATTATCCAAATTTTATTTAATTGGATTATCTCACATAGCTTAGAAAAGACTTCTGTGGTTCTATAATATTTTTTGGATTGTTTTGGGGAAAAAAAACCCAAGAGCATCAGAGGAATACCGATTAATTTTTTTAAAGGCTGTAAACTGAACAAAAACAATTTTTATTTAAAACTAGAATGATTATATTCTGAGGATATTTAAAAACACTTTTCATTTATACAATTCCAGTACTTCTTGACTGCCATTTGAAAGACTACAGGAAAGGCAGGACAAAGGCACACTGACAAAAGATTGGCAGTGCCCTGACAAATTTTCACTGAGGCTTTCAGTCTTAGCAAATCTACTATTTGAAGACTGTGTAAACAAGGCACATCTATTCAGTAGTTAAGTACTTTGCAAGATTTCTTCCAGATAAGGATTATTAGTATTCGTATTATAGTTATCTATGATTTAAAAACGCATATCTGGTTTATGAATTGCTATTTTCAGTTTGGTAAGAGTAATGAGTTCAAGAGATATACTGTATAACATGGTGACTAGAGTTAATAACAGTTCATTGCCTTCTTGAAAATCAGTAAGTAATGTTCAGCATTCTCACCAACAACAGTGATAAATATATGTATTTATCCATACAATAAGTTTGATTTAGCCTTTCCACAATGCATACATATTTCAAAACATCATTGTGTTACACAATAAATAATTTTTGTTAATTAAAAATTCAAATTTTAGTCTTCCCAAATAAAGAGCACAGAGCATGTGCAAGAGAGAGAAGTCATTTTCTCATCAGAACCATTAGTGTTCCTCCTTCTCATCTTCACAGAGAGAAAAGGTTTGAAAATGGCAGTCCAGAAACAATGACTATAGTTCAGAGGGGCACCACAATAAAAGGAATCAAGAGACTTTGTCAGTTTTTAAATGAAAGAGTTGACATGAAGGGGACTTGCTTTGATATGTCTGGGGAATTTAAGAAAATAAACTATTGCAATTTATTTGCAATATATTTAAGCTGCTAATGTTAACTCCGTGTTAAATCATGCCAGGAATTCAGCAAACTCCCACTGACTTATACAATGAAAATGCTTATGATGGATGATAAATAAATTTGATGACTGAACCATTTAAAAATTGCTATTTGATGCAAAATAGCAAATGGGATTTAGGACTTAGATTTTTAATTATTCTTGATGACAAATAGATGAAAATCTAGATCTCTTTGAGGGAAGATCAAGGGCTACTACACATCAGCTGATGAAAAATTGCTAAAATGAGGAGAGATATGAAGGAAACAATATTACAAAAGGCAACATGACAACTGACAAGTGTCTGTGGCAAAGGAACAGTGTTGTCAGGGATGGAGCCTGAGTTTTATGATAATTTTTTATGGACAATTTGTTTTTTCTTAAACACCTGCGAACCCAACTCCTTTTTAAATGTTATTTGTTTTCTCTCTGCAGCAGAACAAGGTCTCCCATAGCACAGTGACCTCTTTGCCTTATTATATAGATATTGAAAGAGTGCTCTTACTTGAAAAACTTATATAAATAAGTCTGGGGAAAAGTTTGCTTTTTAAAAATTGATAATTAAAAATACAGAAAACTTTGCAAAACACCTTTTCTTAGATGAATGTAAGATCACAAACTTTTATAGAATTTCAGGATAATTCTTTCCTCAAGAAATTTCTAGAATCTCACAGAGGAGGTTAATACAAAATGCTAAAGATGCGTGTAATTTTACCATTATACAATCACAACCAAAATAATTACCAACCAAAATTTATTATACAACAAAATTTATTAACCAACCAAAATTATTATCAAGTATATTTAGCATTACCTAGTACATTGAGGAAAATAAAATTTCAAAGTGCCATGAAAAATTGGCCAAGAGTTATAAATACAGCACTGTCTTTTAAAATGCATCTTAAAATGTCATGCTTACAACTGCACATTTATACTATTTTTGGCTATTTCTAAGAAAACTTTATGTTCAGATATCCTTGACTTACAACTAAGGGTTTATAAAGCATTCTTATTACTATAGGACTATTGTCATATTTACTTACATATTGAAAGTGAATTTGAACTTGAATATATTTGTATCTGAACATTCACAGTTAAACATTTGATCCAACATACACATATTTGGCTTTTGTCCATAGAAGAAAACATTATCCTATAATTCAATTTTGATAGCATGGAAAATAAAGCCATCAGGAAGAGAATGTGCAAATAACACAGATGTTGTAATGTGTGTGTGTGTGTGTGTGCGTGCGCACACAGGCAAAATTTTTCATTCTATTTATAAAATCCTTTAATTTGACTCATGAAATGAGGACCAGACTTGCTCCAAGCCTCAAGTCAGTGAATGTTGAATGGTCATAGAGATTCTAAAAATAATAGTTTGACCTCTTTCTTACTGCATGACTCACTTCTACCAGTATGGCTCAACAATTTCCCTTTCTGTCCAGGTGATGCTTAAACTACACCAAAAAGAATTACTTTGAATTTTTTTCTTCATATCTTTTATAGCATCTCACA